ATTACGTAATCAAAGACAATATTGAACAGAATATGTCATTTCAATATAAGGGTAAAAGAAATTAGGTGGTGAGAGGTTGAACACTATGTGTTCTATTGTTTCCATATTCAGTTACATTTGTCACTATATAAAAGTTCCAAATGATTAAACGACAGTAAAAGACAGTGATTTTAATTAAACATTTCCCTTTGGAGAAACAAATTCAAACTGATTTAAATGTCCTGAACACAGTGCATCTCAGGACTGTGGTTGAATCTGCAGTTTTTGGGAATATATTTACATTTAATCCATAGACATGTATTCATTTCACAGTGCAGAGAGGGAGAACCAATATGGCTTCACTGTACTTTATAGTGACGTCATCAGCAATCTAGTTCTCTATCAGTATCTATGAATAAAGCGTAGCTGATGTGTGACGTATATGTTCCTGTGCCTTAGTGAGTCATTTCTATCTAATGCTAAAGCTCTGGCCACAAGGCTTTAAAGGGCACCATGCGGAAAGACTCTACTTTACACTCCAATTGTTGTGCTGATAGTAGAAGTAATGAAAAACTTTGTATTAAATTAGAAAGAAATGCAAAGTGAAAGCATTAAAAGCACCAGTGCTCTCAGATGTTTGGACCCCACTGTGTGTGTAAACACTCCAGCAGCGCTGCTGTGTCTGATCCACTCGTACCAGCGCAACACACACTAACACAACACCACCACGTCAGTGTTACTGCAGTGCTGAGAATGATCCACCACCCAAATAGTACCTGCTCTGTGAGGGTCCATGGGGGTCCTGACCACTGAAGAACAGGGTAAAAGGGGGCTAACAAAGTATCAGAGAAACAGATGGACTACAGTCTGTAACTGTAGAACTACAAAGTGCACCTATATAGTAAGTGGAGCTGATAAAATGGACAATGAGCGTAGAAACAAGGAGGTGGTCAGAATGTTATGCCTGATCGGTGTATATGTGTATATGTGTGCGTGTATTTGGCATTTCACGGACCAGTCGACTTTACTGTTCGGTGATGACGCTTTAATCTTGATGTTGACGAGTCGCTGGTCATGTGATTATGACACTAACAACACAGACGTCTCAGAGAAGACAGCAGGTGAGGAGTCTGGTGATTCCAGGGTCCTTATCTCCGGTTCCCGGAAGGCCAGGAATGCGATCCTGGGCTCGTTGGAAAGGGCATGTCACACTCTACTGACCTGTGGAGTTTGGTTTCATCACTGTTAATAAAATTTAACTGTTAATAAACATTAAAGAATGTATGTTTGTCTGTGTTTTAAGAGCACACTGGACCTCCCTCATCTCTCTCCACCAGTTTCCCCTTACTGTGAGTTACATCTCTGAATCCACACAGACACAGAACCAGAGTCCACACAGTGGGTCCTAATGAAGTCCTCAGGGCCCCCAGAAGAGCTTCTGTCTGAGAGATCCACGCCTCAGTACACACACACTCACACACACACACACACACACACACACCATACACACACACCATACACACACACACACACACACCACACACCATACATACATACACACACACACACACACACACACACACACACACAATACATACACACACACCATATACCCAGACACACACACCATATATACACACACACACACACACACCATACACCATACATACACCACACTCACCACATACACAACATATACACACCATACACACCATACACACACACACACACACACACACCACACACCATACATACACACACACACACACTCACCATATACACCATACATACACACACACACACTCACCATATACACCATACACACACACACACACACACACTGCAGCCCTGAGACACACACTCAGAGAGAGAGAGAGAGAGGAGAGAGAGAGAGAGAGAGAGAGAGAGAGACCACTCTAATAAAGACTCTGATTAGAGAACTATAACAGAGACGTGACGTCTAACAAAAACAATCTAGAGAAACATCAGAATAACGTCCTTTACTGAGAGATTTATCCAGATTCTCTGAATCCTTAATAATGTTACAGACTGTAGATGGTGAAACGTCTAAACTCCTTGAGAAACGTTCTTAAAATGTTTTATTTTCACTTACATCGTTTTTCACAACGTTGTGACTGAGCCTTTCATTTCACAGCCAATTATGACAGCATCACCTGTTACCTGTTTACCTGGAGAAAGGTGTTTTCGTTCATTCTAGAGTCTAGTCTAACCAAACTGTACAAATACACAATAATAATAATAATAATAATAATAACAATAAAAACTTGAAATTAGAGGTGAGCGATACAGTCATACATAAAAGCTCAAACTGTCAGCAGAGTGAATTTACAGCATCCAGAGTAAATAAAATAATAAAATTACCCAGCATCAAATATATCAGACTTTCTGGACTGTTGTCTACTTTTAGACTCTCAGTGAGGGAAATGATCTAAAATACACTCAATATATCTAATATTTCTCATTATGACACTGCTATAGGGCTAAAACATAATTATTCAGCCTATTTCTACACAATTTTACTTGTTAACAGTAATTTTTTAATGTTGTGAAATTATGATCCACTGGCAGATACACTACTGTTCACTCTTCATATTAATAATTATTGTATTATCAATCAAATTATCAAATAACTTTTACTGTGTATATTTTAATATTATAAATTCCAGATGACATTTTATTCAATTTTTCAAGATTTTGGGAACATTAGGATAAGATAATTGCTACATTACAATACTACAATTAACTATTTATAATCAAGTTATATGCCTCGAGATTTGATCACCATTTCTGAAATATGAGGCAGTTTGGTTATTTATTTTATGAGAACCTTATTCTGGACATTAATTTTATTAAAACCTTATTCTGGATGCAAATTTTGTTAGAACTTTATTCTGGACGTTAATTTTGTTAGAACTTCATTTTGGACGTTAATTTTATTAGAACTTCGTTCTTGACGTAAATTTTACTAGAACTTCATTCTTGACGTTAATTTTATTAGAACTTCATTCTGGATGTTAATTTTATTAGAGCTTCATTCCGGATGTTATTTTTATTAGAACTTTACTGTGGATGTGGATCTCATTAGAATTTCTGTCTCCATCATTATTATGTTAATAACTATGTTAATTTTTTACAACTTATCTGAAACATTTGTAGTTTTGTGTTGTATTAGCATCATGTTATAAAATTATTCATTTTATGCATGTTTCTGCAGCTAAAATGATTTTACACAATTAAAACCAGCGATTCCAAAATTTTATCAATAATTTCACACAGAATTTAAGTTTTTGAAATGAACAAATAGATCTGCCAATGGAACACAGTAAATTAATTAATTAAATCAGGTAAAATGTCTAGAAATAAGTCATATATTCTTCTAAAACAATCTGTCCTATCAGATACTCACAATGAGAAATTTTAAATATATTTATAACATTTAAGATGATTTCTGTAGCTAAGATTTCACTTTTGTAGCGTCAAATGTTTCAAAACATGGTGTAAAAATTCTAGAGGAACAGTTCTGCAGAGCTGCTCACTTTTAAGCTGAATTAGCTTTAATTTATGCTTCTTTAAAGATTAAACATCCTGTTTAGGTCAACAGACATATTTATAATGTAAACACAGTTAGCGCATCCTGAACACCAAGTGCACTGAGTTTTGTAGTGTGCAAAAATATGCTCTTATATTCTATTACAAAAACTTACAGATGCCAAAATCTCTGTTATATTATGCTGAATTGTTGTTTGTTAAATCTGGAGAACCTTGTTTTTAGCATTAATGCTTGTAGAGGGAGATTTTAAAAAGGACAATCTTTATAAAACACATGTCCCTGAAATTTGCTTGGTTTTATGGAAATTTTTTAACACCAAAATTTAAATTTACTTTGCTTTATTACAATAAGACAAAATAAAAACAAGGCAACAGAAATTAAACCAGAAGGTGAACAGAAATTCTTATACACTCTTAGAAATGGTTTTTAAGAGAACAGAGAATGTGTTGTATACGGTTCCGTATAGCATTAAAAATATGTTAACAGATTATTCCCGTGGTAGTTTCTTGTGCAGTAGTTTAACAGACTTTCTTGTAGCTGGATGTTCACGAACAAGCCAACAACAACCAACAGGAGAACTTGCGAGAACCTTATAGTGGCTAATGCTGTCAGTTATCAGTGCTGTTCTATTGCCATCATCGTGAGACTTGCGTTATTATCACGTTTCTCTAGACACTTTGTTTTGAGAAGTTAAAGCTATCTCTGTTCTTCATAGCTGGCTCAATACGAGCGCTAAACTACAAATAAGTTCTTGGGTCCTTTTATGTAGCTTGTAAAATTAGCAACATAAAAGGACCCAAGAACGTATTTGTGGGCTTTTGTAGTTTAACACTCGTATTGACCTAGCTGAGTTAGCCAGCTATGAAGAACGGCGATAGCTTTAACTATCGTGACAGTAACGCGAGTCTCACGATGACGGCAATAAAACAGCACTGATAACTGGCAGCATTAACCACTATAAGGTTCTCACAGGTTCTCCTCTTGGCTCTAAATGTAGGTATTGTGATATAAACTGAGTCTGTTCTACAGTTTCTCATTAGGCTGAATGGACAGTAGCTACAAAAGAACGCATTTGTGGGCGGAGCCTGGAGAGATTAATGGATTTTAAAGCTATATTTACATCACAGATTGGACATTTTTGGAGATTTTTTGCAGATTCGAGACCGCAAAGCGTATGAAACAAAAACTAGCCGGCTAACTAAGCAAGCTTGCTCTGAAGAACTGTGGCCTGTTGTGAACATCAAAACTACGAGTTTTATTTGCTCATGAAGAAATCCCACCATTAATACTTAGAAAAAAAAAGTAGAAAGAATTGGTATAAGCATTGTAAAAACATTTTTGGATGCACATAAAGTCAAAATAATTATGAGTAGTGGAAGCCCAAAGTACCCGCAATCATTACAAAACAAAGCTAAAAAATAAAAAAAAAATAAAAAAAGGACCATTTGTACACCTTGTCATTTCAGTTTCAAAATAAAAGTCTTAGCGTTATATTACCTAAAAAGAGTTATCACACTGAAACAGCCTGTACATAGCAGCACCTTTACACACTGTAAAAAATGCACTGGCTTTGCAGCAGTGCAGTATCAAAAATATGGAGATTTAGTAAACAAACGCTTCGAGTGTTGATGAATGCTACTAGATGCTGAGAGACAAAAACATGAGGGGAAAATAATCTCTTAAAACTTCAAAAAGTGTGAATTAGACCCTTTAAAATCAAAGACCTTTTTAAATGAGCCGAGATCTCCGAAAAGCACACATACACACTCTCAAAACAAATGGCTTAAAAACAACACAAATTTTAACACAACCCATTCAACACTCTGTTACTTTAACACAACCGGTATGTATTAGCACATTTAACGCAGTGCTTCCTTTAACACAACCGGTATGTATTATTGTACATAATGCAGTGAGTTGCTTTTAACACAACCAGTATGTATTATTAGATGCAACACAATGTGTTACTTTAACACGACCGGTATGTATTATCAGATTCAACACTGTGTGTTACTTTACCGTGACTTGTACGTATTAGCATATTTAATGCAGTGCTTCCTTTTAACACAACCAGTATGTATTATCAGATGCAACACAGTGCATTACATTAAGACAACTGGTACGTATTAGCATATTTAACGCAGTGTTTCCTTTAACACATCCATTATGTATTAGCATACTCAACACAGTGTGTTACTTTTAATACAATCATCATGGTTTAGCGTATTTAATGCAGTGTGTTACTTTTAACACTACCGGTATGTATTATTGTACATAACAGTTGGGTTAAAAGCGACACACTGCGTTATGTTTTATCATACTTAACGCTGTCCTACTTTGACACCACCAGTGTGTATAATCGTATTTAGCACTACCAGTATGTATTATTTTATCGACACAGTGAGTTACTTTTAACACAACTGCAATGTATTAACAAACTTGACACAGTGTGTTGCCCTTAATACAACCACTATGTATTAATGTGCTTAACGCAGTGTGTTACTTTTAACACAACCGGCATGTACTATCATTCTTAACACCGTGCTTCTTTTAACACAACTGGTGTGTATAACTGTATTTAGCAAGACCAGTATGTATTATTGTATTTACACAGTGTGTTACTTTTAATCCAACCAGTGTGTACTGCTGTATTTAACACACTGTGTCACACTGTGTGTGGAATTTATAGTGTTTTTTTAGCCTGATGTAAAATGTGTTAAATGAGTGTTGTTAATTAACACATTGTTTTTGAGAGTGTACACGCATTTGGTCAGTTTCTGTAGTGGACACTGGGTCACATTCATGTTTGTGGTATACGGGATGTAGTTTTTCAGTCCGTTAAGGCGGTCCGTCTCCATTCAGTCGATTTTCTCCACTTTCCCGATGATCCGATCCTCAAATATGGGCAACACGGCGTCGTCCTCGTGAACCTCCTCGTACACCACGCCACAGTCGAACTCGTCACTGACCTTCTTAAAGTAAAATCTGAAATAAAAAAAATATTTACAATAAAAATATAATAATAAAAATACAATAATAGAACGATAATAATAATAACTAGAATAGTGCATGTCCTGAAGAAAATGCAGTGAGTGTGCAGCTGAAGCTTGTTGCTAGGTGGTTGCTAAGATGTTTCCAGGCAGTTGCTATGGCATGTGGGGTGTGTACCGAGTGGTTGACAAACAGACGAGTGCGGGTCAGAACACCACTGAATTTGTGCTCGGGGGGCCTGCCCTGAGATAGTACATGCGAAACGGTGTCTTTCAGTCAAGCAGGAGTACAGTAGATGGACATACAATTTTTTGCCCCGTTCATTTCTATGGGGAAAATAATCGGAATTTAACAAAGATTGTACGAAAACTGTACATCGGATCAAAAGCTGTATACAAGCACATCATTCCTGATCTGACTGAACATTCCAGAGTTGGAATGGTGTTGATGTCTGGAAAACTGTGGGATGAGTTAGCGGACAAAAAACGGCAGAAAAATAAGAAAGACGAAGAAGAAAAAGAAGAAGAAGAAGAAGAAGAAGAAGAAGAGAAAGCAGAAGAAGAAGAAGAATATAAAAAGGGTAACAACAGTCACCCACAATTACTAATAAAACTACTAACAAAGTTTTATTTACATGTTATGATATAAATAGTGCTAAAATGTATTACTATGACTATAATGCCCTCTAAAGGTGCAAAGAAAAATCAATGTTGAGATGTTTTATATAACATCTGTCCAATGTTATTGTAACATGCCCAGTGTTATACTGTACCATCTTTCCACCATCTGTCCAATGTTACACTGTAACATTTATCCGATGTTGCATTATGTATGCTCAATATTACACTGTAATATCTCTCCAATGCTATGTCGTAACATCTCTTCAAATGTTACAACAGCAGGCTATAACGCCTGCCCTATGTTAGGTTGTAATGTCTGTCCAATATTGGAATGACTCCACAGTTGCCATGGTGATGGTCTCACCTGTAAGACCCCTTCTTGGTCAGAAGCTCCTTGAACTGTCCGAGGGTGACGACCCTGCCTTTAATGGACGTCCTGTACGGTATCGGCTCTCCACAGAAATAGTACGCCACAGTGATGTTCTCACAAACTGGCTTCCTACTGCAGCTGGACTTTAACCTGAGAGAGAGAAGGAGCGAGAGAGAGAGAGAAAAAAAAAAGAGTGAGAGATTAAAAAAAAATGACTTTCGTAGTTGATGCCTTCTACAAGTCCATGTTGTAACTGAACAGTTTACCTCTGTTTGCTGTGTTGTGGTGCAGATCTCCGCCTCCCCTCTTCTGATTGGCTGGTGCTGGGGACCGCATCATAACGGTCACTTCCACTGACCCAGCCTGGACGAACAGAGGACGAGCTAGAGAGACAGAGACACATGGTATCTTCACTGTGTGTTGGGAGGGGGAAAAGATCTAATGCCTTACACACTGAAGTATCAGATTTGACTGAAATGCTCGTGCCTGGTCCGTACCTCTTCCTGTAGCGCCCACTATCTCTCTCTCCCTCCATCATCCACTGTAGAATCTGTTTCTGTTTCTGTTCTGCCTCCTCTGGTACCTCCAGGCCACGCCCATCCATGCCACGCCCACCATCACTATTCCCTCTCAGACTGCGCCGAGATAAGGAGTTAACCCTACTGCTGTTGGCAAACAGAATCGTTATACTTAATTTCGCCACGCAAATATATAAGCTACACTAACGCATACAGATTTATTTATTTAAATGACATACAGTACACACATATTATAATACTGATGTTACAAACATTTACCTATAACCCAACGCATCGCTCTGACTAGTCCCCGCTGTGAGGTTCATGCCGTCGCTATAGCAACGCCCCCCGTTTCCGTACCGATGAGAGTCTGCATGTGCGTGAGAGGGTGTTTTGGGTGACTGACAGCCAGGACTCTTCATGACCCTCTGCAGGTGCTCATCCAGAATGGCCTGAGCGTCGTCATTCCACTGACCCACGCCACTGCCATGGAAACGGAGACAGGGACCTGGCAATGAGGTCACTGTGGAAACATCAGCATCTTCACACTCTTCTTCCTGTTGAAGGAAAACCCACACAATTACCTTACAATGTTATACTAGAAACGGGATGTTTGACTGACATGCAAAAAGGCCAGATGGCTACTTTTTTTGATCTCCCAGTCAGCTACTTTCCTGGGAGATCAAAAAAAGTAGCCATCTGGCCTTTTTGCATGTCAGTCAAACATCCCGTTTCTAGTATGCTTTCCTGGGAACAGCCAGTTGACTACTTTATTGAATGGCCAGTCAACTGCTTTGTTGGTAACGACCAGTCGACGGGCAGATATTTGACCGACATGCAAAATGGCCAGTTACTTTCTTGGGAACAGCCAGTCAACTATTTTCTTGGAAATGGCCAGTTGACTACTTTCTTGGGAATGGCCTCCTGACTACTTCTTTGGAAACAACCAGTCGACTACGTTTTTGAATGCCCAGTCGAGGACATTCTTGGGAAAGGCCAGTCGAGGACATTCTTGGGAAAGGCCAGTCAGGGACATTCTTGGGAAAGGCCAGTCAGGGACATTCTTGGAAAAGGCGAGTCAGGGACATTCTTGGGAAAGGCCAGTCGAGGACATTTTTGGGTAAGGCCAGTCGACTACTTTCTTGGGAACGGCCAGTCGACTACTTTCTTCGGAAAGGCGAGTCGAGGACTTTCTTGGGAAAGGCCAGTCGACTACTTTCCTGGGAATGGCCAGTCGACTACTTTTTTGAATGGCAAGTCAACTACTTTCTTGGGAAAGGCCAGTCGACTACTTTCCTGGGAATGGCCAGTCGACTACTTCTTTGAATGGCCAGTCAACTACTTTCTTGGGAAAGGCCAGTCAACTACTTTCTTGGGAAAGGACAGTCAACTACTTTCTTGGGAAAGGCCTCCTGACCACTTCTTTGGAAACAACCAGTCGACTACTTTTTTGAATGCCCAGTTGACTACTTTGCTTGGGAATGGCTAGTCAGCTACTTTCTTGGGAACAACCAGTTAACTCTTACTTTTTTTACTTTTTTTGGGAACGGCCAGTCGACTACTTTTCTTGGAAATGACCATTCGACTACTTTCTCGAGAATGGCTAATCAACTGCTTTTTTGAACACTGTCAATAGCTTCTTTGACTGACCAATCAACTACTTTTCTGAAAGGCTACTCTTTTTTTGAATAGCTAGTCAACTAATAAAAATGAAGTCAATCACACACATACACACACGCAGACTTGGTTACCATGCGGACTCTTTGTAGTTTCTCCTCAAGTTTTCTCTGGTTCTCTCTCTCTCTTTGGATCAGCTCCAGCCGGCTGATCAGCTCTGCTGCAAACTTCTGAGGCTCTACATGGACATCCTTTGGCAAACGGTGTGTCCGCTACATACACACAAAAACAAACAGCATCACTTAGTGTTTTCTCTCTCGAAAGCTGATATGTTATCAGCATACTTTTATTAAAAACGCTAAGCCTTAACCTTATTCCAAAATGTATGCTACATTTAAGCAGTATATTTTTGGTAATGCACACATTCACATTTGCCATGAAATTCTTGTTAAAGAGGGCATGACATCCTCCATGTGTCATGAACAAAATACACTCTAGCAATAATTTTCTAATGTCCTAAATCTATTTGGTAATGTCCTGCAGTCTCATGCAGATAAATCATCGTCAACCTTACCAGTACTTAAACTCTGATTTATTGTTTACACTTAATTTATTCGCAATTAATTATGTTCAAATTCCCCATGTAAAAGGGCATATGCGAATCAGCAAAAGAGCCAACATCACATCAGGCTACTTATCTGGGGCAGAAAGATATTTATTATTATATCACATTACATCGCTCTGACTGAGCAAAAAAGAACAGCTAATTCCATCGGGTTTTGCAGACAGGAAGGCAAAGCGGGGGGTACTTACAAGTACTTGACGAGGCAGTGTGTACCGACAGGTATGCAATGGATACATGAGGAGGTGGGGGATACTGATGGGTATGCAAAGCAGGGGGTACTGAGCAGTACGTGAGGAAGAGGGGTACCAGCAGGTACATGAGGTAGGGGGTACTGAGCAGTACATGAGGTAAAGAGTACTCACAGGTATGTGAGGCAGGGGTACAGCCAGGTACGTAAGGCAGGGGTACAGCCAGGTACGTAAGGCAGGGGGTACTGACAGGTACGTAAGGTAGGTGGTACTGAGCACTACATGAGGTAGGGGGTACTGAGTGGTACATAAGGTAAGGAGTACTGAGTGGTACATGAGGTAAGGAGTACTCACAGGTACGTGAGGCAGGGGGTACTGACAGGTACGTGAGGCAGGGGGTACTGACAGGTACGTGAGGCAGGGGGTACTGACAGGTACGTGAGGCAGGGGGTACTGACAGGTACATGAGGCAGGGGGTACTCACAGGTACATGAGGCAGGGGGTACTCACCGGTATGTGAGGTAGGGGTACATGTCCGTTGGCTTTAACATTTTCCTGCATGTTTCTGCGTTGCTGTTTACGAAAACGATACGGAGGAATACCATCACTATAGAGAGAGAAAGTGAGAAAGAATTACGGATATGAATAATATTACTGTAATATTTAATAATGAATTAGATCTCGTCCCACTGAACTCCAATGTCAGCAATGGGTGCACCTTAAAGTAGCGAAATTCACTTTTCAGAAGGGCTGTCAGGATACTTTTGGGAGTTTTACACACTGTGTCCACTCACTGTCCACTCTATAAGACACTTCTACCTTGTTGGTCAACCTTGTAGATGTAAAGTCAGAGGCGATAGCTCATCTGCTGCTGCAAAGTTTGTGTTGGTCATCCTCTAGTCCTTCATCAGTGGTCACAGGACGCTGCCCACAGGACGCCGTTGGCTGGATGTTTTTTGGTTCTCAGTCCAGCAGCGACACTGAGGTGTTTAAAAACTCCAGCAGCACCGCTGTGTCTGATCCACTCAGACCAGCACAACACACACTAACACACCACCACCACGTCAGTGTTACTACAGTGCTGAGAATCCAACACCCAAATAGTACCTGCTCTGTGAGGGTCCATGGGGGTCCTGACCACTGAAGAACAGGGTAACAAAGTATGCAGAGAAACAGATGGACTACAGTCTGTAACTGTAGAACTACAGAGTGAAACTATACGGTCAGTGGACTTAAAAGTAGACAGTGAGTGTATATACAATATATACAGTTCCTCTTTCCAGTCAAAACAGCCAGTAGGAACAAGCTTTTCTTTATTTTTCAGCACCAGAAAATTACCCAGAAGCCTCGACAACTAAATCTAATCTCAGCTGTTTGAGTGGTCAGTGTGTGTCACTCTTCACCTTTACTACAGCTTCCATTCTCTTCAGGAGACTCACTTTCGGTTCCTCAAAGAATCTGGAGACACGCTTCCAAAGTTCAGTCTTAGAAGTTGGTTTAGTGTTTTCTGCATCTCACCATTCTAGTAATCCTAAACACACTCAGTCGGTCCATTGTTCTGAGAACACCACCAGCTTCTATGTTTGCCTTGATTTTCTCAGCAATGTGCATGGGGTCGTTATTCGTGAGGCTTCTCTCAAAAACATCCACATCTCAGACGTCTAGTTTCAGTCTTTTACTGTAGATGTTCTCCAGGTCTTCCAGGTCAGGAAGCACATTTTCTCTGTAGCTTTCAATCAGTTTATGAACTCCAGTGTTGGAAGCTTCTGGTTTTTTTTTGGTTTTTTTTTACTTATTTTCCTCTGATTTTTATCCTTACTCATGCAAGTAGATTATCTTTATATCTAACCTCCTCATATAAATAGCTCCTGAAAAATAATATTGTGTACTTAATATCTGTTTTGACTGGAAACGAAATAAATGAATAGCTAGAGGTACAGGTATATACATAACGTATATATATACGTACACGCTGCTGTCAGTCAGTGAGATGGTATCTGCATCACTAGACAGACTCTGAAGCTCAGAGTCATTGGCGCTGGCTACTGGAGCACGAGCGAAACCGCTGTTTATGTAGTACGGGTTTACTAACTCCCTCACTCCAAACCTGCACAGAGAGAAAAACAGATAAAACATCAATTTCTGTAGGTGGGCAAATTTCCCAGATTAAGAAATAATTGGATTAATTGGATTAAGTCTTAGACAAAATGTAAGCATCAATGGTGTTTCATCATGATAAATTACGTTGGTCTAGTCTTAAGCTCAATCTGAATAACTCACTCTAAATGTAGGTATTGTGATATAAACTGTGTCTGTTCTACAGTTTCTCATTAGGCTGAATGAATAACCGACTCTAAATGTAGGTATTGTGATATAAACTGAGTCTGTTCTACAGTTTCTCATTAGGCTGAATGAATAACTGACTCTAAATGTAGGTATTGTGATATAAACTGAGTCTGTTCTACAGTTTCTCATTAGGCTGAATGAATAACTGACTCTAAATGTATTGTGATATAAACTAGGTCAATTACTGAACTCACTTGGCCTCCCAGTGGTCAGGCCTCTTCTGATTGGCTGTGTTGCGTTGGGCGGCAGTCTCAATCAGCAGCTTCTGAGTGAGCCTGCCAGAGTGGGCGTGGCCTGGCTCAGTTCTTTCCGTCCACTCCTTATCCTCCATCAGCGTGGGCAGGTATCCTGGTAATGAGGTTTCCTGGTTGCCAGGCGAAGTGGAGAGCCTGGGGCTATTGTCATCGGCACCAGAGCGCTGGGCGAAGGCCAGGTAAACGTCTGACTTGAGGAAGAGTGGGTAGGTGTGCTCCTCCATCAGTGTCTGAACATCCACTTGAGCCTGCTCAAACAGTGCCGAGTCCAGCTGGGCCCGACACACGCACTCCCGGATGAAGCTCTTCGTCGCTGGCTTGATCTTTCTCGCAACGACACCGCCACCGCTATCAGCTATGTACTTCCTGTTGGGCACATTTTAAATATTTCAGTTTTTCTCCTTCTACAGTTAACTTGGCAACACTGTAGCAATTACCTGGGATAACATAGCAACAACCTACCTACACCTTGCTAGGTGCTGTGGTATCCCAGGTGGTTGCACCTTAGCAACCACCGGGGACACCATAGTAACACCTTAGCAACCACCGGGGACACCATAGTAACACCTTAGCAACACTGTAGCAACCACCTCGCATACCGTTGCAACAGCCTTGCAACACCTTAGCAGCCACATGAGATTCCATTGCGATGGCTCTGTCAAACAGCTGTAGGCCGAATGGGCAGGGCTAAAGTGCTGTAGGCCGAATGGGCGGAACTAAAGCGCTGTATGCCGAGTGGGCAGGGGTTAAGCGCTGTATGCCGAGTGGGCGGGGCTAAAGCGCTGTATGCCGAGCGGGCGGGGCTAAAGCGCTGTATGCCGAGCGGGCGGGGCTAAAATGCTGCAGGCCGAATGGGCGGGGCTAAAATGCTGCAGGCCGAATGGGTGGGGCTAAAATGCTGTAAGCTGAATGGTTGGGGACTAAGCTACTGCAGGCTGAATGGGTGGGACTAATGTGCTGCAGGCTAAAAGGGTGGGGCTAATGTCCTGCAGGCCGAATAGGTGGGGCTAAACTGCTGTAGACCGAATGGGTGGGGCTAAACTGCTGTAGGCAGAATGGGCGGGGCTAAACTGCTTTAGGCAGAATGGGCGGGGCTAACCTGCCGTACTGTGGTTACTGGGGAGTGAACAGTTTTGAAACGGTCTTATTTAAACAAAAGGGCAGATTTCCATGGTATAGGCCCTTTAAAGTAACCCCGCCCTACCTGTAGATGGCTTTGGCGAGCCTCAGCCTTCGCCCGTCCTGCCCGCCAGTCGGTGGGAGTTTGCGGAAGCCACTGCAGGCGAACCAGAAGTCCAGCAGGTCGGAGCATCCCTCCTGCAACAGGAAGGCCCGGAACAGCGCTGTGCCATCCCGGTCATCCAGCAGGAAGTGCAGGGACTCTGCCCAGCGCAGGTGAGGCGGCGCAGGTGAGGCGCAGCCCTCAGGCTCAAAGCCCAAGTCCAGGTCAGAACGTCGCGGGGTGGCTGACGGACCGCCCGGTCGGGGGAGGTACGGAGGGTGGACGGAGGAAATGTAGCTGTCTTCCTCTCCTGGGACGGGGGGGCGGGGGGCATCCTCGTTAAAGCGGCCGGGCATGTCTCCATGGCCACCGCGCACACGAATGCTCATCGTCGGGTAAAGGACAGAGGAGGAGTCAGGGAACTGGGGTCAGAAGAGCGATGGCAGGGCAGTCATACTGGGGAGAGAGTGGGAGAGAGAGATTAAAGGGCCCATAATCCCCAAAAACAATCATAATTCATTTTTCATAATCATTTTCCCGCCTCTCTGTACTCCTTAGAATTAAACAGGCTGTTTTTCTTACGGCACCTTTAAGGCTGAACATGTTACACTTCAAGTTAGCAATATCACATTAATGAACCCGTGCACTGATACACATAATGAGTTAGCAGTAATAAAGTTAATAGGTCCGCGTTAATAACGTTAACATGTTAGAATTAGTAAAGTTAATGTTAGCACTAATTCAGTTAATAACTTAGCATCTATAAAATTAATCATTTTGCATTCATAAACTTAAAACGCTTGCACTGATAAAGTTAACAGTGTTGCTTATTAACTTTATTAATGCCATCATTCATAAAAGTTTGCAGCGATAAGGTTAATAGATTAGCATTAATAAAGTGAATAAGCTCACCGGTAAGTAAGTAAATAAATATATAAAGGGCAACGGGAGATTCATGGACAACCTACACTGTTAGAAATAAAGGTTCTGTTCAGGTATAATTTTGTTCATCAAGGTACAAACAGTGTAATGTTCCCTCAAAGCTCCAACAGTGGTTTTAAGGTCTGATTGTGAACCTTAAATCGTTTTTTCCAGGTGAAAAGTTCGTATTTGTACCTTTTCATAACCGAATGTTTTAAACAGAACAGTAAAATAAAAGCCTGGAGACGAGACGGGGTGTGTGGAGTCAGTACAGCTTAGAACATTTCATTTCAGTGGATTATGGTTCAGTTATGTTCCCTGACTAAAGGTACTGAGATGGAGCCTTGAGGGTTCCACCCCAGTGACAAGAGGGGCACTGCCCCAGAGACAGTTTAGTACCTTTATGTCTAAAAGCGTATGCAGAGGTACAGTTACACACATACAGATGGAGAATTTGCCATCAAACATACAATTTAGAAGTAGGACCAACATTCAAACCAAAAACAAACGCCGCAAATAAAAAACATAGCATGTCTGCTGGCACTTTTTCCAGACAACATCCTGGAGCCCAGAAATCACTGAGTGTGTTTACATGCACTTAGTAATCCGATAACTGCAGAAAGTCAGATTTTGCCAGTAATCTGATCAACGCGTTTACATGCACTTAATAATCCAATAACTGCAGAAAATCAGATTTTGTCAGTAATCTGTTCAACGTGTTTACATGCACTTTGATAATCAGATAATGGGGAAACTCCAGGTCTACATGAGTCAGACAGTAATCAGATTTCTGCTTTACAACCAGCCAATAAACTCACAGAAGAAGACGTGACGTGAATTTAACGTAAAACTTAAAACTTCAATCCGTGGCTTTTTAAAAAAAAACAGCGTCACTTTACCTGAAAACATGAACATAAATCATCTAAGAGATTTAATTATAGATTTAATAGTAAATCTTTTATTTCATCAAGCATGTACTCGGTTTCGCTCCAAAAGTGTTTTGCTGCGTCTCGCGGCGACGCTGCTTGCTTATTTCCGGTATCACAGTCTGTTTTTGCACATGCTCACACTGAGAAATCAGAAAGAAATCAGAGTAAGAGTTTACATGCACTGAGAAACCTGATTACTGAGCTAAAATACAGCCCCTTTATCAGATTTCTTAATCAGATGTCTAGATTGGAACATGGTATGATCGGATTATTAAGTGTGTAAATACACTCAGTTTCTTGGGCTTTCTCATCGGCCCAACAGTCCATGTATGGGGTCGATATTTTAAAAAATATGGTTTGCCTTTCTAGGCTGAAGAGACGCCTCAAACGGAATAATACTACTTATTACTGCTGGGGTTTTAAACACTGTGTCCACTCACTGTCCACTCTATTAGACACTCCTACCTTGTCAGTCCACCTTGTAGATGTAAAGTCAGAGACGATAGCTCATCTGCTGCTGCACAGTTTGTGTTGGTCATCCTCTAGTCCTTCATCAGTGGTCACAGGACGCTGCCCACAGGACGCTGTTGGCTGGATATTTTTGGTTGGTGGACTATTCTCAGTCCAGCAGCGACACTGAGGTGTTTAAAAACTCCAGCAGCACTGCTGTGTCTGATCCACTCAGACCAGCACAACACACACTAACACACCACCACCACGTCAGTGTTACTACAGTGCTGAGAATGACCCACCACCCAAATAGTACCTGCTCTGTGAGGGTCCATGGGGGTCCTGACCACTGAAGAACAGGGTAACAGAGTATGCAGAGAACCAGATGGACTACAGTCTGTAACTGTAGAACTACCGAGTGAAACTATATGGTCAGTGGAGCTGATGGAGTGGACAGTGAGTGTAGATATAAGGACGTGGACTTGTTATGTTATGGCTGATCGGTGTAGATTACCCATCAACCTGGAATATTTTAACCAAAAAAAAGACTAGTTTTGGATCAAATTTAGACCCAGATACGACCCCGGGTTGGTCACGCCACTCAGTAAAGCATGCTGTGATTGGCTGCGGGTTCATTTGCATATCCAGTGTTCTGCGGTAGATCAGATCCCGCGATCTCTCACCGACCGATTACAGTAGCGGTAAACCGCACAGCGCCGGCAGCAACCCGAGCGCGAACGGGCTTTTTATCAGCACAAACTCGCACATTCCTGCGTTTAAGGAGGAGTGAAAGACAGAGAGAGAGCAGAAGGAGGAGTGGAGGAACCGCAGGAGGAGAACAGAAGCCCGGCTTCGGGGATAAAGATTAAATTTTACCGCCTTACCCGCAATCCGCCTCCAGCGCTACTAACGGGAACGCGCCGAATCCCGAGACCTCCTTAAATCCGAATTAAACTGAACCATATTTACCGTGTAAACACGCGCAAACGCGCCTAAACACACAAACAAACACCCTCTCCCTCTCTGTCTCGCGCTGCCATACCAAACACACAGAGGTGCGCGTGCCCTGCATTACGTGAGCGTGACGGAGCACGTACAGAGTGACGGCGCCCCACCCACTCCAATCAGAATCCTCCGTTTGTAGTATTCATGAATATGCAAATGAGGCGGCTGAAAATGAGCGATTTTAGAAATGAGCACGTTATTAATTTAACCGTTTATCATCCTAATGAACGTTAGGTTTCATAAAAAGACAAATTAACACAGTAAATATAAGATGCTACTGATATAATTCTAAATAAATAAATAGAAATATGTAAATAAATCTGTCAAATGATGAAATAATTACAAAAATAAATACATAAATAAATGTAAGGAAATTAATGTAAGAAGTTAGATATGATTATTAATGTTATTTGTATTTAACGTCAAAATAAGCAGGTAAAATTCTTAGTGCTCTTATTTGACAAATGAAGAGAGAAATTAATAAATAAATAAATGAAAGAATGAATGAATGAATGGATGAATGAATGAATGGATGAATGAATGAATGAATGAATGAACGGACACTGACAGTAAACTCACTGACCAAAAATAAATCTGTCCACCTACCTGAACAGAGTCCAGCACAGTGTAGAGCAGGAGGGTAGAGAGACACAGCCCACAGCCTCACAGAGAGAGAGAGAGAGAGAGAGAGAGAGAGAGAGAGAGTGAGGGAGAGAGGACAGAGTGTGTGTGTGTGAGAGAGAGAGAGAGAGAGAGAGAGAGAGAGAGAGAGGACAGAGTGAGAGATAGAGAGAGACAGGAGAGAAAGGCAGCGAGAGAGAGAGAGAGAGAGAGAGAGAGAGAGGACAGAGTGAGAGACAGACAGTCCCACTCCCTGAAGGTTTCACTGTCAGACTTCACTGTATATGTATTATATAAACAGTTTGTAAATGTAAATTGTGTAAAAATGCTCTTAACGTACCTTTAACAAAAGGTGACATTAGAGCTTCATCAGCTCAGCGCTGAGCCCCATTCACAGTCCAGCACATCCTTCTTCATCCCACACCTCCACACCAGCAGGGGGAGCTCCTCATATACACCACATTTCAGAAATATGCAAATAAAACAAATACAAATTTAGACCAGAATATACAAATATATGATTTATTCAAGAATAAAGTAATAATACAAATTTCAGACCAGACTCAGTGGAAGCACAAGGTGTTTCTAATAAAGTAGCCAGTGAGTGGCAGCACAAGGTAGGTGTTTCTAATAAAGTGGCCAGTTAGTGGAAGCACAAGGTAGGTGTTTCTAATAAAGTGGCCGTTTGCGTAGATAAAGTGGCCAGTTAGCAGAAGCACAAGGTAGGTGTTTCTAATAAAGTGGCCAGTTAGCAGAAGCACAAGGTGGGTGTTTCTAATACAGTGGCCAGAAAGTGGAAGCACAAGGTAGGTGTTTCTAATAAAGTGGCCAGTTAGTGGAAGCACAAGGTAGGTGTTTCTAATAAAGTGGCCAGTTAGCGGAAGCACAAGGTGGGTGTTTCTAATAAAGTGGCCAGTTAGTGACAGCACAAGGTAGGTGTTTCTAATAAAGTGGCCAGTTAGCAGAAGCACAAGGTAGGTGTTTCTAATAAAGTGGCCAGTGAGTGGAAGCACAAGGTAGGTGTTTCTAATAAAGTGGCCAGTTAGCAGAAGCACAAGTTAGGTGTTTCTAATAAAGTGGCCAGTTAGTGACAGCACAAGGTAGGTGTTTCTAATAAAGTGGCCAGTTAGTGGAAGCACAAGGTGGGTGTTTCTAATAAAGTGGCCAGTTAGTGACAGCGCAAGGTAGGTGTTTCTAATAAAGTGGCCAGTTAGCAGAAGCACAAGGTAGGTGTTTCTAATAAAGTGGCCAGTTAGCGGAAGCACAAGGTGGGTGTTTCTAATAAAGTGGCCAGTTAGCAGAAGCACAAGGTAGGTGTTTCTAATAAAGTGGCCAGTGAGTGGAAGCACAAGGTAGGTGTTTCTAATAAAGTGGCCAGTTAGCAGAAGCACAAGTTAGGTGTTTCTAATAAAGTGGCCAGTTAGCGGAAGCACAAGGTGGGTGTTTCTAATAAAGTGGCCAGTTAGTGACAGCACAAGGTAGGTGTTTCTAATAAAGTGGCCAGTTAGCAGAAGCACAAGGTGGATGTTTCTAATAAAGTGGCCAGTTGGCGGAAGCACAAGGTGGGTGTTTCTAATAAAGTGGCCAAAGCATGTTTATAAGAGGCTGAATGTTCTCATTATGTTCTCATAACAGACTCTTAATGAGAACCTCAGCCGTATTGACTGAGTTGCACATTCAGATCCACAGAAATAATTAATATCCCTGCTGTAGTTTTCCTTAAGCACTTCCTAAGACTCCGGTCCTGACCTTTAGACCGTCCACAGGAGACTCGCACAGACTCATAAATCTCACATGAAACCAGCGCTGCATCGCTCTGACCCCGGGGGGGGACTGGGGGGGTGGGGTTGGGGGGCTGAAGACGAGGGGCGAGTGTGTAAGGGGAAGGTCACCCTGCAGGAGGTCTAGTGTCTCAACATTCTGACATTCTACTGCTGTTTCTGCCTCACCAGGAAAACACACAAACAGCCCGTATTATATATATATATATATATATATATATATATATATATATATATATATATATATATATATATATATGTATATATATAAAACAGTACCGTTCAAAGCATCCACACTTCCAAAGTTCAGTCTTAGAAGCTGGTTGATCATTTTCTGAAGTAATCAAACACATTCAGTGGTGTTGAGGTCTGGACTCTGGGGTGGTCAGTCCATCGTTCAGCTTCTTTGTTTGATGTGTCCGTCTCCTTTTCTCAGTGAGGTTCTTCTTGACAGCTACACATCCTTTCAGACCCACAGCGCTGAGTCGTCTTCTCACAGTGGAAGGATGGACAGAAACACCTGTGGATGTGTTCAGATCTGAAGCAGCTTGATTTTCTCCTCTCTCTCAAAGATGAAAGCTTTAAGTGCTGTTTATCTATGGGGGCAGGTTTGGGGTCTACCAGGTCTTCCAGGTGGTTGTTAGGAGCCCTGTTTTCTCTGTAGCTTTTAATCAGATTTTGAACTTCAGTTTTGGAAACTCCTGTTTTTTCACTTTGATCTTTCTCCTTCTTTATGCAAGTGGATTATCTGATATCTAATCTGCTCAGAAACATGTTTTTGACTAGAAATAAATTAAATGAAGGGTATTAAAGTATTAAGTATTAAAATGTCTTATATCTGCCTACATGTACTAAGAGTATATTCTATGAATGTTATGTATATGTACCTATATGTAATGATATACCCTATCTATCTATCTATCTATCTGTATCTGTATGTAATAATTATGTTTTATGTGTATTATGTATATGTATTTATATTTAATATGCATTATATATATGTAATAATAATGTGTTCCATGTGTATTATATATACACATATCTATATGTAATAATAGTACATTCCATATATATTATGGATATGTACCTATCTATATATCATCGCTGTCTAAAGAAAACTGTGTCCATTTTTGGTTTTCTACATCATTTCAACACACTAGCTGTCCTTTACGTTGTGTAAAAATTTCATGATGCATGGACCAATAGAAATGCTCTAAAATCACTCGGAACAAAATCTTTTTACATGGACTTACATTGAAAGGTAAGAATGTTTTTGCCCTCTCCTGTAAAATCAATATTTTGGAAGATACTTGTTTTTCATTGGACAGTGACAATATGTATGTATATGTAATAATAATGTGTTCCATATTCATCATACAGGGTGATTCAAAAAGACTGATCCGATTTCAAAGCACCATATCTTTACAACCGTGAGGCGCCTAGGAACCAATCACAATCCAACTGAAAGAGGGGGTCATAGAGTTTCTGTCAGTGGAAGATGGCTCCCTTCAGTCTGAGAGGAGATGCGACCCCTGAGCAGAAAGCGTTCTGCGTTCTCCACTTCAATAAGAGTGAATCCGTCATAACTGTGCAGTGTGATTTTCATGGGCAGTGAAGCTCCAACAGCTCAGAGCGTTCGTCGTTGGTTCCACAACACTGGATGAGCTCCGAAATCGCACTGAAAGAGTCGTGAGTGCAGCGACACCCGACATGCTCAATCCAGTATGGGATGAATCTGACTATGGCGTTGATGTTGTCTGTACAGCTGGAGGAGGTTCATACTGAGACCTTGTACAATTACATAATAAACTTTATGCTCATTTACACCATTTACAGTTTACTGCATTGATCTGTAATGATTTACAAGTGAAATAAATCATTTTGAAATCGGATGAATCTTTTTGAATCACCTTGTGTTACATCACCAAGCATAGTGCCAAGCGTCGGATGGAGTGGTGTAAAGCGCCGCCGCTGGACTCTGGAGGAGTGGAAACGTATTCTGTGTAATGACGAATCAGCTTCTCTATCTGTCAGTCTGATGGACGAGTCTGGGTTTGGCGAATGCCAGGAGAACGTTACCTGCCTGACCGCACTGTACCAGCTGTAAAGTTTGGTGGAGGAGGGATGATGATATGGGGCTGTTTTTCAGGGGTTGGTCTAGAACCCTCAGTTCCAGTGAAGGGAAATCTTAATGCTTCAGCACCAAGACATTTTGGACAGTTGTACATTTCTAACTTTGTGGGAACAGTTTGGGGAAGAACCTTTCCTGTTCCAGCATGACTGAGCCCCAGTGCACAGAGCAGCTCCATAAAGGCCTGACTGGGTGAGTTTGGTGTGGAGGAACTTGACTGTGTTACGTCCTGTGTTTGGTTGTCTTTCTCTCTCTCTGTGTTTCCAGGTTGGCGTTGCTGCATGACTGACGTCCCGCTTTTCCCGGCATGTGATTGGCTGTTCCTGTTGCCGCCGGCTGTAAAAGGCCTTTGGAATTAGTCAATGTGGAGCAGTCTTTTTTATTCAGCCTCGAACTACTCCGCCCCCCTGGCTGCCCACCGGTCGACTGACCAGTTTAGTTAGCTGTGATTTGCTGGCCTACAGGTAGACGAGGGTCAGTGAAAGTGTTGTAAATAAAGGAATCGTAGGGGTGGCCTG